GCTACTTTGGTCTCCACCTTACAGGTGTGTACCATCAGGCCTAATTCCAGTTCTTTATACATTTTAAGCAGTTCTTTTCTAGTTTTGTCTTTTGAAAACATCTTACTCAGCTCCTTATCTACTTTCCCAAATTCTACTCCCAAATTTTACTTGTGCTTTTGAGAATGCAAAATATTTTTCTGATCTTCACAGAGGTAGTTTCAAGGTATGGCTGTCTGACTGTAACCCTCTGTCCTTGTACCGCTCATAGCACTGGACACAGTGCTGGCGTGTGCTGGCTTGCCTCTCTGAAGGAGGGTCTGTGTCTACTTACTATTGCATCTTGGTGTCTACCACAGTTCAACCATGGAGTAGGCATCCAATAAATAGTAAGACAACATGACCCATAAGATTGTAGTTTCAAACACTTATGCACACAGAAATGGTCTTTATGTAAATCCAAAGTCTATGATTCATTATGAAGCAAATTGAGTTGTGTGGGCAAAAAGCTCATTACCAAGTTAGAGGGTTGAGATGTTCCTTGAGTGGATTTTGAAAGACAGGCTCTGTTATCTTACCATTTGGATGGCATAGAGCTGGTTTTGTAAATATTAACTTCACAGTAGTTTTGTTCAAATAGCCTGTTCTGTTTGTGGTTGATAAACACTTTATGTTACTCCTCGTAGCTGTCTGCTTTCTCAAGGCTCTAGTTAACATGCTCTAGTTAAACATCTCTGGAGGTTTCTCAGAGAAGGTTAACATGTTTGTTTAGTTTTGAAATTTTTGATTGGGTCAAATAAAATATGAAAGTATACATTTCTTTATTGGCTTTGACATAACATCTGCTTATTATTCTAGTCATTAAAAAGAAATAGATTCTTTCCTACTAGCCACAATGAGTTTTAGGGGATTGCAGAGAAAATAGCATATAGATGCATAGTCACTTTTGTAACTCCAGGAACAGTATTAAAAAAACATTTACACTAAGGTATATTATAATATATTTATTTGATGAATTGTAGTATTTGTATCCTGGAAATGGCTTGGGAAAACCAAAATCTTGTCAGTGGAGAGAAACATGAGTTACAGGGCTCAGTCTTTTTAGGTATTATTTTATAAATCATTTGTTTTTACGACTATGTTCAGGAAGAAAAATTCCTCATTTAGTTAATGATACTATCCATGAATGCCTTTGATTTGCTTTTTAAAATGTTGTCAAGTTGTGCCAGATATAGTGACACACAGCTTTAATCTCAGCACTTGGGAGGCAGATCGAGGCCAGCCTGGTCTATATAGGGAGTTCCAGTCCAACTGGGACCACAGGAAGATCCTGTGGCAAAAAAAGTTGTCAGGTTGTTTTAAATAATTTTTAAAAATAGTATATTTATTATTTTTATGTTAAGTATTGCCTGCATGTGTGTAAGTGCACCCGTGTCATGTAGTGCCCTTGGAGGTCAGAAGAAGGCACTGAATTCCCCTGGAACTGGAGTTATGGATAGTTGTTAGCCACCATGTGGGTGCTGAGAATCAAACCTGGGTCCTCTGCAAGAACAGTCAGTGCTCTTAACCGCTGAGCCAACTCTCCAGCCCCCATTATTTTTAATTATGTGTATTACTGTGTGTCTGGGGGTATGTTCACCTGTGTGCAGTGCCTGTGGATGTCAGAGGTGTTGGATCCCCCTGGAGCCAGAGTTACAAGCAGTTGTGAGCACCTGGATGTGAATGCTGGGAACTGAACCCTGGTCTTTTTCAAGAGCAGTATGTGCTTTTAACTACTGAGCCATCTTTCCAGTTCCCTGCTTCACATTTACACCCAAATTAAAAAATATTTGCATCTGAGAATACTTTAAATTATTATTTGAAAGCACCTTGTACTGTCCTGTGATGCAGCTGTTTAAAGATACAGTATTCTGGTATTCTGGTTTGGCTTTTATTTAATATTTAACAAGATACAAGCAGTGCTAGACTTTAAAGACTTGAGTGAGTGATTTTGATGATACACTTTCTAGCCAGGTTTCCACTAATTTTACTGTCTTTGCTTGGAACAGTGGTACTTTTGAAGGTGGATTTTTTTTCTTTTTAATTTGGAAAATTCTATATTTGCTTTTGACTTGACCCAGAGAAGGGGTTATTTCTGTGTTCAATTAACAGATTCAGAGAACAGCAGTTTACTATTACAATCTGTGAAATGCAAAGCAAATTGGCTTCAAGGGTTGGCCCAGCATTTAAAATGGAAGGGCCCCAGGAAACAGATTTGAAAAAGACTTTCTGGCAGTTAAGTGATTTACTAGACTGCCTTTGTTTTACATGAAGAAACTTCCCTGTTATGAGAGGAAGAAAAGCAAGACCTGACTGTGAAACAGCAGAGTCTGAGATTTGATGAAAAAAGATATGTTTGAAACAATGGGCTAAAAATTAACACTTTGTTGCAAACTCGCCCCCGCCTCCAGCTTTTTGGTAGCTGTGTGTGCAACCTAGTGCTTCACAGTCTAAGGTCTCATAATCCTCCCTGCAAATCCTGAAACAGCAATTGGCCATGGTGATTACAACTTCAATTGACATTTAAAAAATTCGAAAGCTTGAGGCTGGAGAGATGGCTGAGTGGTTAAGAGCACTGGCTGCTCTTGTGGAGGACCCAGGTGTCCCAGCACCTACATAGCTAATAACCATCTGTAACTAGTTCTAGGGGATCCAACACCCTCTTCTGGCCTGATTGAGCATTGCATGCATGTGGTATACTTACATAGATGCAGGCAAAACACTCATACACATAAAATAAATAACTATTTTAAATATTTTTTCAAAAGCCGTGGTGCTTCACAGGCCGATGCAGATTTCCAGCACTGAAAGATTTTCATAATGTTTTAAAGATCACTGTAGAGGAAGCTATTGCTTCCTCTGTGTTTTCTCAGATGGTCAGAGGCTGGTGATGTGGGCATTGTGAACTGCTTTTAGATACTCTAGTTAAAAGTTCCTTTTGGACACAATTTGAAGGATTTGAAGGATCAACATTTGCTAAGAACACACCTTTTTCTTAGGTTTTTTCTTTTTTTTTGGTCTTTTTGAGACAGGGTTTCCCTGTAGCTGCAGCTGGCCTGGAACTCACTATGTAGACCAAGCTGGTCTTTAACTCACAGAGATAGCTTGCCTCTCCCTCTGGAGTACTGGGACTAAAGGCGTGCACCACCACTCCCGGCTTTCTTAATTAAAGAAAAACTTTTTTTAATTGAATTTTTGTGTATTTCATACCTAACATCTCAATTAATCTTAATCACCTTTATACCTCCTTCCTCACTGGCACCCTCCCATAGCACCCCCACTGGAATTCATCCATCCCGTCATTTGTGTTAGGACCTATTGTGTCAGGTTACTGTCCCCAGATGTTCCTCAGTGTGAGTTCATCTACTGAGATCTGGTCAGCCTATCTAGAGTCCATCACTTTAGGAAGACCAGCTCTGTAGACTGCTGGTCCTTGGACAGGACTCCTATATTAAACTTCACCAACCTAGGGCTCAGGGACCATTGTTCTTACTTTTTTGTTGTTTGATGTTTTTTTGAGAGAGCCTGTGGTCACTGGCTGTGGCTGCTCTCCTCCGGCTATGGCCGCTCTCCTGCTCTCTTAGTTCCTCGCCGCTCTCCTGCTCTCTTAGTTCCTCGCCGCTCTCCGGCTCTCT